GCAAACCCCAAGTGACTATTACACAAACGAGGCGACAGGGCCTTAGAAAGGTGAAGTAATCGGCCCAGACCTGACGGTTGCAGAGGGGCACATTTTTAAAAATATATAGATTTTTTTGTAAAGAGAAAAGAATAAAAACAAAATAACAAAAACAAAGACAAAAACAAACAACACAAGAAGTATGAAAACAATACAGAACTTCAAAACAAGATGATAAGAAATCAGCAATGGTTGTCGTATTACCTACTGTTATCTTCAGGGTGGTCGCTCAGATTCGCAGATATAGGTATCAAGATTGATCAGACAATTAAACATCAACTGTTCCTTTCAGTAAACCAGTAGAAGTTAGTAGTACAATTATCTTAGCTATCTACACACACACATTTCCCTTCCTTCTTTTCTTCTTGCAGAGGGGCGCTTCTAACTTGACACCCTCTGCTCTTCCCTGTAGAGCATAGGCCCCTCCCCTAGACTCCTTGATATTCTTCATCTGTCACTCATTGTTTTCCAGCAGTTGTTCTGCTAACAGCCGCTGTGAGAAGCCAGGCACACCCAAGGCTGTAGGACTCCTCCAAACGAGCCCCAAATTCCCACTCAGGCCCCTCTGGTCCCGGGCACATGAAGACGGATGCCTGTGTCCTGAGCCGACTTCCAGGGAGCCCCCCACCCCGCCACGGCTGCTCTGGGGTTCTGTCTGCCGCAGCGGTGCCCTGGCCCTCCACGGTCTCCTCCTGCCCCTTCCCCAGCCCCTCCCCAGGAACCCTCCTCCCCCATGATCTTGGTCATTGCAGACAGGTTTCCACTGAAATTCCTCTACTGACTTCTTTTGGTGTGTGTGTGTTGTGTTTTGACACATGGGGGGGTTCAAGGTGGTCTTGAACTCACTATGTAGCCCCTGGCCTCCAATTTGCAGCAGTCCTCCTGCCTCTGCCTCCCCGAATGCTAGGATCGCAGGTGTGCGCCACCGTGCCTGGCCCCTGCTGACATCTGAACTTAGAAGTCAGGAAGCTATCTCTACGCTGTTCCCACTTCTAAAGCATTTCTTCTCCAAAATCCCCACCTCCTAAAATACGGACCCATACTACAACATGGGCAGATCTTGAGGACACTCTGCTCAGTAAAATGGGGGGTAAAAAGGTCAAAAAGTAGGTGATGTCACTTCTGTGGCGTGGCTAGAATAATGAAATTGATGGAAAGTAGAGTGGTAGCTGCGGAGGGCGGAGAAAGCAGGGTTGCGGCTGAATGGGTCTAGCGTTCTGCACGATAAAGAGCCCTGAAGGTGGCCGGTTCAAATCTGCTCCACAGTTACGGGACACCGCGGACGCACTTCATGCCCCTGCAGGATATACTGGAACGTGGATAAAACGGTAAATTTCATATTAGGTAAATTTTACCACAGTTGAGCAAGCACCTTCGTTTGAATGCACGTCTTGGCCGGAGCCCGATGCTGTTCCTTGTAGTCATGAGGCCCTGTCCCCTCTGTGCCGTCTCCATACGCAGCAGCCGCGTCCTCTCCAGCACGGTTCCCGCCTCCTCGGACCCCAGCCCTGACCTGCGCAGCGCCTGGCCTCCCAGCCGCAGGCACCTGCGCCTCCGCCTCTCCGCAGCCCTCACTGGCGGCTCCTCCTCGGGAGTCAGCCGGTACCAACTGCCCCTTCCGGCGAACCGAATCCTCCGCGCCGCCGGGACCTGCCTTCCTCCCCTCACTCGCCGCAGTCCCTTAGCAGCCGGTCCCGGGGCCTGCAGCGCGTGCATCTGCCTTGTTCGTGCATCCTCAGAGCGCTCCTCTCTTCTTTGCCCCTTTCCAGGGCGTTCTGGGCCCTGCGGTCCCCTGTGAGCTTACAGCTCCTGCTCAGAAGCCCATCCCCAGGCCTGTGCGTGCGGCCTCCGCCCTGGCCTCACTGCCTCCAGGACCGTCCACGGCCATCACTTGCACCTTCAGAGCGCTTCTCAGATCCAAGTTCTCGTACCTGTTTGCTGAGCGGTTTTGTCTGCTGCTCCGGTGGAGACACCAGCCCTTCGCCGAGACTGTCTAGCGCACCCTCACGGCCCTAAGGTCCCAGCGGTGCTCAGGAAGGGCTTGTGGTCAGCGCTACAGGAAGTCCCTTGGACGACCAACAAGAGTCGTAGCTTTAACCTTTTTTCCCTGTATATAACCAGGCCGAGTCTAAACACATCCTCCTCCCGGCCAGCGAAGTCTTACACATGTTCAGTGTCCGAAAAGCTGCGAGACAGAGCGTCCGGAAGAATGTGTTAGCGGCAGGTCACGGCTGGCACTGCTCACAGTGTGCTGGTGACCGTGTCGCAAGACCTTGAAACATGGAAAAGTGCTTCGAAGGTGCTTCCTCCATCATGTTTGGTAGCTCCTTGACCCAGGTGTCAGAAACATTACAAGGACAAGCTGTGGAAGGGTAAAATTGCAAAGGGGAAAATATTTTTAAATCGGAAGAATCAAGTGCCTGGAGTCCTCGCCCCAGGCGCTCAGAGCCGGAAGCACCGCCCAGGCCTGGTCATTGCTCCCCGGCCTTGTCGGCCCGGTGAGGCTCCCGGAAGTGTGCGCCCCGGCACGCGGCAGCCGGCCTGGTCACTGTTAAGCCCCTGTTCCCGCCCTCGATGATGTCACCTTCCAGCCTTGCCTGTTCTCATTTGAGCTTCAAAAAAACAAACAGATACGTGCACAGATGGCTTCATAAAGAAATTGCTCGAAGGGAAGGTACAACTGGGATGAGGGAAAGGAGAAAAAGAAGGAAGGAAGGGAAAATAATACATATGTATATACAAGGATAGCTGGGATAGCTGTACTGCTGATGTCTGGTGGTTTATTGAAAGGAACAATTAATGCTTAAACTTTTTGTCCAATTTTGCATGCTTATATCTGGTAATCTGAACAATTCATTTGAAGACAACAGTACGCAGTATAACAACCATCCTTGACTTCCTGCCATCTTGTTTAGTGCAGCTAAATGGGTATATAATTCCCAGAAAAGCTGCCCCAGAACCTGCATTGAAATACTCCCAGATGTGCTACACATGATGGGTTACAGCTACTCAAACATTCTTCTTTAGTAGGATGGATAAATGATGGTGCACCCCTACAGTGGATTACTATTCAGCAATGAAAATGAAAGATGCACAGTGACCTCAGCATGGGGCTCATGGATATACACCCATTTCTGATGTTTTTATTATTTTTATTCTCTTTAATGGTTTGATCATTCTTGCGTCCTTACATGTGGTAATCTGAGCAGCGTCCATGAAGATAACAATACGTAATATAACAACCACTGTGAACGCCTATCATTTTGTCTTGAAGCCCTGTATCACTTTCGTTGTTTTTGTTTTGCTTTCTGTCTATGTTGTTGTTCTTTTGTTAAGTTTTTATTCTCTTTAAAATAAAAAATAAAGTAAAATTTTTACGAACTAAACACATCTATGTAAACAGCGCTCACACCAAGGAGCCTGCAGCCTCCTCACCAAGCAAGCGCTGTTCTGATTCCTAATAACAGAGAAGCATTTTTGCCGGGCTCTGTGTTTTTTTTAGAGTTGTACAGTATGTACTTTTTGGCTTTTCTTCTTTAAGCCCTGAGGCTGAACCACTGGTGTCACACATGCTGAGCATGCTCTCTTACACCTGAGCTACAACCCTGGCTCTCTCCGCCTTTTGTATCTTCTTCTTTTTTTTTTTTTTTTCTTTTTTTTTGGTCTTTTTGAGACAGGGTCTCACTATGGAGTTCAGGCTGGCCTTGAGTTCACTCTGTAGCCGAGGCTGGTCTCAATTTCCCAATGATTCTCCTGCCTCAGCCTCCCGAGTGCTGGGATTACAGGTGTGCACCACCACGCCCGGCCATATCTTCTTTCATTGCTTGGGAGAGTCAGCCACATGTCAAGGTCATTGTGCATCTTTCATTTTCATTGCTGAATAGTAATCCATTGTAGGGGTACACCATCATTTATCCATTCTACTAAAGAAGAATGTTTGAGTAGCCATTATGTGTAGCACACCTGGGAGTATTTTAATGCAGGTTTCTGGTGGAGCTTTTCTGGGAATTATATACCCAAAACTGGAATGTTCCAGACAGTTATGCTAATTTACACTCCTGTCAGCAGCAGTGTAAAACTTATCCTGGTTGCACCATATCCTTGCCATCATTTGGCATTTCTGGTATGTGTGTCCAGGGGAGGGTGTGCACGGGGACATTTCACAGCGTATTCATATCTGCAGTATTTGCACTCCACCATTATACTGCTGACCATGCCGACCTCTAGGAAAATGAAGAAAAAGATAAGCTTTTAAAATATAAAAATAATAGGCTGAGGATGGTAGTACATACCTGTAATCCTAGCTACTCAGTTGAGGCAGGAGGGTTATAAGTTTGAAGCTAGCCTGAGCAACCTAGGGAAAACTCATGTCAGGTTAAAAAATAAAATCAAAAGGCCTGAAGATGTAGCTCAGTAGTAGCATATGCACAAGGCCTGGGTCTAATCCAAGTGATTTTTACATTTTGTCCCAGGGATGAAATGGATTAGTTCATATGTTGAGAGTTAAATTTATTTCCTCTAAATCAAAATGGGCAGGTTAATTTATTAGGCAAACATAATCTTGTACATGGGGGGCGTGTATGTTTATATACATATGTATTATGTGCACATATAAATATGTATTTTGGTTGACATTTATATTTCACAAACTTACTATATGCTGGGCACCGTTCTACTATCATGAAAGAAAGCATAGCATCAATATTTTCAGGAAGGTTTCTTTTTAAACTATTCTGAAGCCAGGTGTGGTGGTGCATGCCTATAATCCCAGCACTCGGGAGGCGGAGGTATAAGGAACACTATAAGTTCGAGGGCAGCCTGAGCTACATAATATGTTCAAGGCCAAGGCCAACCTGAACTGCATAAAGAGACTCTGTCTAAAAAAAAAAAAAAAAAAAAAAAAAAAAAAAAACTATTCTGAACATAGCGAACAAATACTGAGACATCTAACAATTGTTACGGGACGTGAAATATCGGTTTGGAGAAATGTGTCAGACTTGGCTAATCCTGAATGTTAAAATTAGTTGTAATCTTACGGAGGCTACATCTGCACCCCAGCTGACCGCCTTCTACAAAAAGCAAACTGTGTCCCTGACTGGATTCTGCCCCCAGTCTTTGCCAGTCTCCAGCCCTGGTGACCCAAGTCAGACCGCCCAGCAATCCCGACGCGTCCTCTCCTAGTTCAGAGACTAAGTAAAGCAGCCTCGGGTAGCTGGTCCGCAGCCCCCTGGCCTCACCTTCTCACCCACCCACAAGGAAAGGTGCTTCCTGCACAGCCCACATTCCCCCTAGAGCCACCTTCCTCCCCACCAAGGTGCTGCCTCGGAAAGACGGTTAAGATGGAGAACGTAAGTAACGTTCGTGTGTCTCTCACCAGAAGTTTACCGTTCTCTCAATAGTCAAAGCCAGAATTGAGGTAGAACGACTGACCTGGAGCCGTCTGTCAAAATCCACACCAAAGACGTCAAACCCAGGAAAGCCCTTCCAGGTACTGTAGGCTTCATTTGGTTTCGCTATGAGTTAATAGTGGGAGAAGCTGAGGACAACGTCAGGTTTCTAGAACACCTGGACAGACGGTGACTAATGCCGCCTGCCACCCTAAAAACGCAGAGGCATAGGCAGGTTTACCCGGGGAGAGTACAAGCGCAGTGTGAGGCATTAATTTTTCCCTGTTGCAAGTATTTTGCTGTTTTTTTCTGCAGTTTGCAAGGATTGCCCTGAAATCTCATGAGGGAGTCTTCCTGGCTGAGGAGCACTAGAAATCTGACAGATGTTCTCACGCAGACTGCAAATGACTGCCTGACACAATCTGTAGCAAGTGAAGAGCCCTAACACAGCTTTACAAACATTTTAGTAAGTGCTTAATACTTTCCGAGATGCCCCAACTTCAGCCTGTGTAAGAAATTCCTGTTGTTTCTGGGATAGAGAAAGCATGTAATAAAGGTTTCCATCGGTGCTTATAAAGTGCCTTTTGATTGTGATTGGTTGCCATTAAAAAAAGTACAAGTTAAAACCATGCATAATTTCCTGATTATGGACTGATTTCTGCAGACCATACACTTACTGTGTCTGGATATTTCCCACAAGGCAACTGTAAAAGTTGAGTTATTCTATACATTCATTTACTAACAGCAGAAAAGAAGCAAATACTCAACTACTATACTCTTAAAACCTTCAGTGGCCTGAAACCTCCAGTGGCTTACAAATTCGGCAACAGCTACATAAACAAAGGTGTAAAGATTTCCACTGTAAGCCAGGGCCGCACAAATAACAACAGGTTAGGTGCTTTTTCTGAAAGATGAAGATCTGCATAAGCCTCCATCTGGAGGTAATTATGATTCAAAACAACCTTTTGTTACTGGTAAGCTTGTATTGACTACTCCTAGAGAAACAGTGAACCAACTTTTTCTTTAAACAGAACCCAAATATCTTAGATGGTAAAGTCAAAAGACAGCAGATTTTTAGCCGGGCGTGGTGGCACACTCCTGTAATCCCAGCACTTGGGAGGCTGAGGAAAGAGAATCGTTGTGAGTTCGAGGCCAGCCTCGGCTACAAAGTGAGCTCAAGGCCAGCCTAAACTGCATAGTGAGACCCTGTCTCAAAAAGACAAAAAAAAAAAAAAAAAGGAGTTCTTGAAAATCCTTACTTGTGCACAAAGGCAGAATCCAGAGCTGCCCCTAAATGCCGTTAACGACTAAACACTTCTCGGCTTTCTATATCGTGTAGCGGAAGGCATAGCTTTGGTTTGATTTTTGGTCTATTTGTGCAGGAGTCTGTGTGCTTGCGGGTCTTCACTAATATTTCATGGGTGGGAGTGGGAATGGATGCTTTTTCTGGTGATGGTTATCCCCCAGGATAACCTGCCAGCATAATCTCAACCTCAAAATCAGCTCATTTCAGCATCATACGAAAAATTGAAACATTGCTGTTGACCTGGAGTCAGCTGATTTCCCAGCAGCTAATAATACCAGCGGGCAGCCTTGGGCAGGCAGAGGGCCTGTTGTTACTTAATTAGCCTCAGGCGATCCTGTGTCCCGCTGGGAGAATGTGGCTCACCTGTTGCTCCTCCAGAGTAGGCAGCTAAACCCGGGGAGAGCGTAGATGCACTCTCCCGGCCCGGTTTCCCTGGGTCTGTTGTTCAACCTCACTGTGTGGATTCTTGAACCAGAGAGAAGGAGCAGCCCACACAAGACTTCCTGCCGCTAATTGGCCTCAAAGCCACGCGTCTTTGGTAACCAGCCATTCCGGGCAGGCTCCGGAAACCTCAGGGTCTTACATCAAACTTGTATCTCCCCGACCCACTTTGGCCCACTGCCCCCAGCCAATTGGTTTTTCCTTCCTTCTCTTCTTCCTGTTCATTTGTTTCCTCCGGTCCTGGCACAAGTGCAAGGTACGGGCTGAGAAAGACCTGGACAGTGGGTTCCTCCTCCTCCACCCGTGGCTGAGCACGCGATTGGACCTTAGTACAAGAGGCCACTGTGTATGTGCCAGCAAATGTGGTATCAGGAAAAGCATCCCGTCCTCGGTTGATGGGCATCTAGGCTGTTTCCAAGATTTAGCTATGACAAACTGCTGTAAATATGGGCGCACATATATTGCTGTAGTATGATGTTTTCAGTTCTTCTGGAAAAATACCCAGAAGGGAATAGCTGGGTTGAATGGAACCTCTAATCCTAGTTTTGTGAGGAATCTCCAGACTGATTTCCGCAGTGGTTTTACCAGTCTACACTCCCACCAACAGTGAGAAGGGTTCCTTTTTCCCCACAGCCTCTCCCACATTTGTTATTGGTGGATTTCTTGATGACAGCCATTCTTTCTGGGGTGAGATGGAATCTCAGTGTTGTTTTAATTTGCAGTTCTCAAATGACCAATGACATTGAACATTCTTTCACATATTTATTCACCATTAGTATTTCTTCACCTGAGAAGTGTGTATTCATTCAAATGCCCATTGTTGGAGTGGGTCTTTGAATTTTGCAGGCCTGATTTCTAAAAAATTCCTTATATGTTGTAGATAGAAGTCCTTCGAAGGAAAGTTGGCTAAAATCTTCTCCTAATTTAGGTTTTCTTTTTACTCTATTGGTGATTTCTTTAGATGTGCAAAAACTTTTTAATAAGATGAGATGCCAGTTGCTGATTCTTTGAAGTATTTCCCGTGCAGTTTGGTTTTTGTCCAGGAACTCTCTGTCTACCCCTATGTCTTCAAGATTTCTACCTACTTTTTCTTCTAGTACATTTAGTGTTTCTGTTTTAATATTTAGCTCTTTGATCTATTTTGACTTTAGTGCATGGATAAAAAAAGATATGAGTTTGTTTTGTTTTGTTTGTAGTACTGGGGATTGAACTCAGGGCCTTGTGCATGCTAGGCAAGCACTCTACCACTGAGCTACACTCCCAGCCTTAGATGTGGTATTTTTATACAATGGAGTATTACTCAGCTATAAAGAAAGATAAACTTGAGGCTTCTATAGGTGAATGGATACAACTAGAGACCACACTTATAAGTAAAATAAATCAGATCCACATGTGTAAACACTGTATTGTCTCCCTAGTGCAAGAACCTGAAAGAGTAAATAAGATCCAAAAGGTACAATAGATATTGTGAAAGGGAAAGAAACTGCCCAAAAGGAAACAACACCTGGGATGAGGGAAAGGAGAAAAGAAAGAAGGGGAAAAAAAAAAAAAAAAAAATATATATATATATATACACACACACACACACACACACACACACATGATAGCTAAAATAATTGTCCTACTAATTTCTATTGGTTTATTTAAAGGAACAGTTAATGCTTAATTGTCTGATCAATCTTGATACCTGGGGTTGGGGATTTAGCTCAGCCACACAGTGCTTGCCTGGCAAGCGCGAGGTCATGAGTTTGATTCCCAGTACTGGAAAAAAAAAAAAAAAAGATATCTTGATACCTATATCTAGTAATCTGAGCAACTACTTTGAAGATAAAAATATGCAATAAAAAAAACCACTGTTAATTTCCTATCATCTTGTTTTGAAATTGTGTATCATTTTTATGTTTTTTTATTCTCCTTAAAATAAAAAAGAAAAAGCATCCAGGAAGAATAATATCAGAAAAAGCTTTCTCAAGGGGCAGGGGAAGTCTAGAAAGTAGGAAGATCAGATTGAGGGTAAAAAAATTAGGAGCAAATTGGAACATGCAATGCTACATATTCAGAAATGTCACCGCAAAGAACAAGGAAATACAGTGGTGCCTCGGCTCGCAAACTTAATTCTTTCTGCGATTCTGGTTGCAAACTGAATTGAACAAGAACAGAATCGAGTCCCACGTAAGGTCCACAGTGGCCCTAACCTCTGAGGTTCATGTGGTTCTCCGCGGATCTCTCCCAGTGCTCCGCGGACCTCTCCCACTTCCCGGCGGCACGTTCAGCGGCTCAGTTCGTCGGTGGATGAATCCACAGGGGAGCGCAGTGCCCCAGGATCCAATCACCTTCCACATACATGAGGATTTGGGGGACATTTTGAATATAAAGCATGACGCTAAAGTGCTACATGCAGTTAGCCCTCCATATACAAGGATATACAGATTTGACATTCACGTAGCCAACGGACTGTAGACCAAAAAATATTTAGAAAGAAAGCATTGCAACTGTATTGAACATGTACAGACTTTTTCTTGTCATTCTTCCCTAAATAGCTAGAGCCCTTTGTATCTGCAATGTCTGAGATTGGGCAAACGAAGGTGACCTGTGAGTGGTTGAATCTGATGGAGAGAAATGTCTTCTGAGTATGGGTCGATGTATTTCAGTGAATTCCCAGTTATGGCGTCCAGCAGAAAGGGTTAAAATGCACCATGTCCTGAGACACAGTGGGTTCTTCAATCATTCTTCACATATTGCTTGGACACTTCTACATAAAACAAAATTGAGCAAGCATTGTAAGGAAAATGGAGAACCATATTTCCAGTATGTATCAGTCAGCTTTCCCATTGCTCTAAGAAAATGCCTGATGTATATAATTTAAAGGAAAAAAAGGTTTATTGGCTCAGTTTCAGAGGCTTGAGTCCCGTGATGCCTGGCTCTGAGGCAGGCAGTCCGACAAAGGGTGTTGTAAGGCAAAGCTGCTCATTTCCTGGCATCCAGGAAGCAGAACACAGGACTAGAGAACCAATGAGAAATATGCCCTCCAAGGCACAACCCAAGACCCACCTTTGCTCCTTCCTAACAAGACAGTCAGCTCTGGATATGCAGGTTTAGTCAGCATGTGAGTGTGCCACCCTGCGATCCAGTCACCTCCCCAGTGTCTTTTATCCAATCCAGGTGACTCTAAGATTAACTTGCACACAGTGGAAATCCAGATGCACTGGTAGCAGGAAGAGCAGAAAGTTGGTATGGGAAGAAACTTCCCTTCAGTGTATAGGCCAAAAAAATTTTTATCATAACTATATCAGGGCTGGGGATATAGCTCAGCAGCACAAGCACCTGCCTGGCAAACATGAGGTCATGGATTTGATTCCCAGTACCAAAAAAAAAAAAAAAAAGACTATATCAAAGAAGATTACATATGTATAATTAATCTTGACATTTTCCATATATATATAATATATATACACATATATACATATCAGATCAACATAGGAAAAGATGTTCAACATCATTAGTCAAAAGCAAAATGCAGACTAAACCCAGGAGCCACCATGTCAAACATACTAGAATGGTTAGAAAATAGTGCACCTGACAGCACCAACTGCTGACAAGGATACGGAGCACCTGGAATTCTCATTCCTTGCATATGGGAATGGAAAAAAGATACAGTCACTCTGAAAGACAGCTCAGCATTTTTTAACTAATAAATTTGCACTTGCTACATGAACCAG